ATATATATATACATACATATGTGTGTTTATATGTATATTGATTGTACGTGTGTATCAATTCCGCGTGCGGCGCGCGCGCCACGATTCGCCACGACGCGCGCGCGCGCGCACTCTTATTTAAATTGCGCGCGCGCGCGCGCCACGAGGCGCCACGATCCCGCGCGCGCGCGCGCGGCTAATTAAATCAGCTTTTATTAATTAAATGCTATATATATAATATAATAGTCTCTCTCTCTCTATATATATATATATTGCTATATATAGTATTTAATCAATAGTATCAATGTATAAATATTATTAACCAATATTGTATATGGTTCAATTAAAAATTTGTTTCGTTCATTTTCTTGGCGCGCGCGCGCGCGCCTCGATCGTGGCGCCTCGTGGCGCGCGCGCGCTGAAATTTCTCTGTACCCATTTAAATATGAGTTCTTATAGATCTCTATATATATATATGTATATCTTTATGTATAATTAGTGTATGTAAGTTTTGCTTGGGCGCGCGCGCGCGCCACACGCGCGCGCGCCACACCCACAGGCATGCGCATGTGTACGCATTCTTTACATTTTTTTGCAGAGCGTGTATATTTGTTTTTCTATTTGCATATGCATACAAAACATGCATTATGTATATAGGTATATAGACATATATATTCACCTACATATACCTAGAGGTATGTACATGACACACACACACATATATGTATATATATATATATCCAGGTAGATGTTTATTAACAGGATATCGTACTTCATTATATACTGTATATATACTGTTGCTACAAAGTAAACATACTATGTATTTAGATCGATGGGATCGAAATTTCGCGAAGCGAGCTGAAACCAGGGTCTCCATCCAGCGCTGACTGCAACCTGATCGGCAGGGCTTGCTTTCCATATTCTGGAACAATACGCTTGTTGTTGAGTGTGCTCAAGCTTATAGACCATGCCAGAGCCGGCTAAGAGTCGGTCTGGTAGGTCTAACTGGCCTAGTCGGCAGTCGAAAGTTAAACAGGAGCCTAAAAGCTTCTGTAGTGTCGGGACGTGCACTGATGCTCATGTGAGAACGTTGCAGCTCGCCCCGAGTGGCTCTGAGATGGAGCAGGACCTGATGGTTCATGTCGTGACATAATTCGGAGCAGACCTAGGATTAAAGATACTTCATCCAAGTGCTTCATATATCCCCAGGACTGTCTTGAAGGCCTCCAAGCTGGCCAAGTGATCGATGATGGCTGCTCACTTTCATTGATCTAGTGCTATATTATAAACAATATATTCTGCACTGTACCTACCAGACTTGCTGATCGAGGCTTCGATCTCTGGACGGCCGAACGTACTGCCGGCATGATCGAATGGAATTATCTAGCAATCTTTAAGACTAATTGTTACTTGTGGCAGGCTCAATCTTCCCCTGGCCGATCCCGGTCGCCGCCGACTACGCCCCGCAGTCCGATACAGACTTGCCAGGTGCAGCCGGCCCATTTAATTTCTTTGAGACGTGACAGTTAGCTACTATAATTTCCGCAGTTCGGATCTGATCGATGCCTGTCGTACGGTTTCACCTGAAAGCCCGAGCCTTCTTTTTGGCCAAGAAACTCTGGGATTCATTTGCTGCTGGCGACGAAGGGCAGCGGATAGCCATCACAGGGGACATCATTCCCCACGGGACCTTGAGATCCCAGAGTTTGAGGCAGTGCTTGAAGTGGGCAGAAAGCTCGCCTTGCAAATTGATCACTTCGGTAGTGGCAAGTCAAGCTATCGATATATTGATCAGAAAATATCATCTGCAATTCCCTATTATCCCTGGGATTTCTGTCGCATCTTGGAAACGCAGGCAAGCACAGCGCATCGTGCAAATTTGCTACAGGGTTAAGAAGAACTCCCAAGCACGGCAAGTTTCACTGGCCATGACCGATTTTGAAGAGACTCAACTCGAGGCCGGGGCACCATATTATTCTCATAGCTCTCAAATTCAAGCAAACTCGATCAGATCGCCGACCTTGGCGAGGCAAAATCCGAGCAGGAGACAGTTGCACTATAATTGACATCATGATTCACGGGTGCACGTGCTTCTTATGCAGGAGTGCGACGTCTCGGCCTTGGCCTCAATTTTCCGTCGTTGCAGCGGCTCTGGGTGTTAATGCAAAGTGAGACAGACAGACAGACAGATACAGAGACAGAGTGTGAGAGAGAGAGAGAGAGAGAGAGACAGAAAGAGAAAGAGAGATGACTAGCGAGAGAGGCAGAGAGCGGAGCGAGGGCAGGGAGAGAGGGATAGAGGAGAGAGAAAGGTTTAGAACGAGATAGCGGTTTAGAGACGGAATGACAGAGAGAAAGAAATTGATTAGGCCATGTTGGCGGAGTTCGACGCGAAGACCCCCCCGAGGTTGGTGTACCGAGTGATGTTTCGACGTGCGGTTTTGACTGCGGCTGATCGACTAGGCTACGTCGTAAAGGGGCCGCCGAGGTCGTTGGGAACTTAATATGCTCCGGCTCGAGAATTAATTTCTGGGATCTGAAGACTTCGGGATCTGCTCAGGTTGAGGAGCCGCCATCGAGCCCAGTATCGGACGAGGATCCCGATGACGAGGTCTGTGACCCGGATGGTGCGAGTTCTCAGAAATAGATCTGGGAATTTGCAGAACTCAGGATCTCGATGGAGAGCTTGAGATGAAGACGGAACATATGGTCGAGGTCCTGAAAGGTTTCTTAGACAAGCATCCCGAGATCCGGGATGTTCTGCGCGGGCGACCATCGGATGTCCTGGAGTGTTGGCTAGATGAGTTTCGATCCTCCGAAGATCCTGAGAAGGACGCAGAGTGGTTGAAAGCTTGCTTGGATTGGGATGGCGAAGGGGAGCCACCCGTGGATCCAGGATTGGGCTCGGCCAGTGGGTCGGCCAATGGTGCTTGCCACAAAGATGAGTGGGTCGATGATTCGGCCAACACCAAAGGTGCTTGGGCCGATGGTTCCGCCAAGGACAACGAGACCCTTGGATGGACCGAGAATGATTGGGTCGATGATTCCGCTGATGGATGGGTCCAGGATGATGGGGTCGATGATCCGGTCTATGATTCGTCCACGGATCACAAGACCCATGGATGGACCGAGACCGATGATTGGTTCGATGATTCCGCCAGTCAAGAATGGACCGCGGATGATTGGGTCAATGATTCGACCAAAGATGGCAAGACCCATGGATGGAGCGAGACCCATGACTGGACTCGTGATTTTGCCACAGCGAACAAGTCCGCTGGGTGGAGCCAGAATAATTGGGTGGATTATTCGGCCATGAGCAAGACCAAGACCGATGCTTGGGCGGACAAGACCCATGGATGGACACAGAATGGTTGGATCGATGAGTCGGCCAACGACAACAAGACCTATGGACACAAGGCCGATGATTGGAGCGATGATTCGGCGAAGGACAACAAGACCTATGGATGCAAGACCGGTGAGTGGGGCGATGATTCCGTGAAGGACAACAAGACCTATGGAGGCAAGACCCGTGATTGGGCGCATGATTCGGCGAAAGATGGCCAGATCCATGCATGGGCCCATGATGCCTGGGCCGATGTCTCAACCACCGATGCGTGGACCGACGCTGGCTCTAGCACAATGGAATTGGCTCCGACTGATGGAGGAGCCGATGATATGGAATGGGTCAGGGACAATGGTTCGACCGAACAAGTCTATGATTGGGCCAAGGATAAGCAGGCATTTCTTTTGCTGTCTGTCTTGCTTCAGGATGCAGGAATACTGTGCTCGTAGCAACTTATCATTTAGTTCTAAGCTCCTTGTACAGGCACCGGCAGTATCTGATCGCGGTCATCCTGCTGACCATGGGCCCGTTCTGAAGGACTGGCTAACACATCACTTCATCGAATGTCGATTGCCTGGGTTCCTCATGTAGCCCTGTTTGAGGACGGCTGGGCCCAATCCGCTTGGATTTATCAGGCGAGACTTCTTCAAATCGTGGATATCTCTCCCTCTCTCTCTCTTTCTCGTGGTCTCTGCATGAGTCTGTGGTGGAACCTTAGGAGCAGTGGCCGGGCTACGAGTGGACCGAGGTGGGTTACCTTTTCCGATTTAAGAGGCGATATGATATTTCAAGCTTTGTTCTTCTCTGCAGGACCAGTCGTCTGGCTGGGCGAAAGATGAGCCTGGATCTCGCGAGTCTGAGGATCCCTGTGTTGTGTAGGGCTTACAGTGAGGTATGCTGTTTGAATCTAGAGCAACCAAGTTCTCAACAGGAATGGACAGATTGGTGGTGTGCCGAGGCCGATCTCGATATATTCAGTGCTAGTGCATGTGCACGTGTGGTGTGCATCGCAGGCAGAGGACTCGACCTTCACTGCCGACGAGGCCCTTACTGGCAAGTCGTCATTCTCGAACCTTCACTCTTGGATACTGCCTCGGCTCAGTGATAACAATAATGTAGGTATATGAGGCTCTTAAAATATCCGTGCTATAGATTATTTTGGGTCGATATTGCTAATTATCCCGGAGCCCCTAAAAAAAAGACTAGGACCCTAAACCCGCCACCCTGGTCAAGGTGCCCCAGGACCACATCGCGGAGCCAGGGCATTTTGCCTTGGGTGCGAAGGTGAGCCAAGTAAGGAATTCATATTGTGGGTTGGTAAGATATGACATGCTGCCGAGGTCGAAGACGACAAGCCTGACAAGACGCAGCGCGAGCAGGCGATCCCGGGGGCCTAAATAAAAAACCCTACGATAGCATCCTCGGCACCCTACTAAGGGGTTTCCCTGACACCGTAAGTACATAAGAAAAACATGTATGATACCCATATAGCTCGCCATGCACGTTGAGAACGTGGTACCGAAGAAGCCCAAGCATGCTCGGCCCCGAAGACCCGAATAATATCCGAAATCCTTAAGCTCCTAAACCAAGAAAACCCTGTAAGCCCAAAAGCCGTCGAGTGCCATGCCCGAGCAGTGCCGTCGATCGCCCCGGAGGCCCCCAAAATCTTGATTACACTTTCCGAAAGCCCGAATTCCTGTATACACCCTACAAAACCCGATAATCCCTAAGCCCGCTACGCAGGTCGACAAAAACAGTGACAAGATGCCCGAGCAGTCGGCCGAGGCCGAAGTCAACTCCTATTGCATTTCCAAAACACGAAGAAACCTTAAACCCCTAAAACGCCTAAACCCTTATATGCCTATGAACGTATATATATATATATATACCAAGACGTGTCAATTGGACCTATAAAATAATACATCAACATAAGCTATGCTGTTGAGGTCTTACTTTATAGGTCCGATTGTCACGCCCTGGTAAGGCCCATATACAGATCTACACCCGCTAAGCAGGTCAAGAAAAAGCCGCAGCACCCCGTGCCCGAGAAGGCCAAAGTAAGGCTTTGATCCGCTTTTCCTAGAGCAAACCGTACATGCTACACAGGTCGACACTGAGCCGATCCACGACACAACGCCCGAGGTGCCATTAGAACTCGCTCGCTTTCTCGAAGGATAAACCCTTAATCCTGCCGAGCTTGATCAGGATGTCGTGGCCGACGGCATCGACGAGAAGGTTGCCACGGCTTGCCTTGCAGGGGACAAGACGATAGCGCATGCGCATGCGCAGAGATTGCTGGCTGCAGAGAAGCGTGAGGAGAAGAAAGCAAAGGAAGCTAAGAAGACAGGGTCCCACAAAGCCACCAAGGAAAAGGAGCATGAAAGTGCAACGAACCCCAAGCCCAAGAAGAAGAAAGAGAGGAAGGAACCGAAGACAGAATACATGAAACGGAAGCAGAGTTTCCTGGATAAGTACCTTGAATGCAATAGTCTTCCATCTGTGCCAACCCATATTTCTGGTGAGATTAAACAACTTAATCTCCTGGTCCCGAGGCAAGCCAGAGGCACCACAAGAGCAGAGATCGAGGCCAAGTGGAAGAGCAGTGAGTCCTATGCTAAGGTTTTGTCTGCACTCTCTGACGTAGAGATCAAGCGCCGGAGGTATTGATACGAGCATGAGCAATCATGTCAATTAGGGGTTTCGGGGCATTCCTTGCTTCTTGAGTCTAAAATCTTTATGTGCACTGCCCGTGTCAGTGCCTCTTGCATCGGCCCGCACTGTGGGGTTGAGGTTCGATACCAGCCAGCTGGATTCTCTATACTATCTATATTCTGCTATCTTTCATCGACTAGTGTATGTATCCTGGCAAGCCCAAACAAACCGCCTTGGCTTCGAAGATCGAGTGTCCAGCAGCCTCAGGGGGCGCAGGGCCTGGCCGATCAATCCAAACATTTTGCGAGAAACTTGTGCCGAAAAGTACGAGTGTGTCTGAGCCCGCAACCCTCCAGTGATGCATATTGGCACATGTGCAGTCTGTGAGACTTAACCCGTTGTGTGGCTGCAGCTGTTTTCTTTGTCTGCCATCGGCCCTGCAAAGCTACCGTACAAGGACTCTAGCTATGTTGCACCCAATCATTGGATATCCGATTAGTAGATTGCTCCAGCCAAAAGCAGAATCACTCGAACTCCAGGACCGATGCAGTTTTCGCGGCTGGCCTTCATCGTCGCATCGTTGCTGTGTAGTTCCTCGGATCAGAGCGAGAAGCCCTTATACTTCCAACAACTAATCATTCAGTTTCGTATTCACATTCTCCCTCTGTTGCTCTCTCTTTCTCTTTATCTTGCTGTTTCTCTTTCTCTTTGTCCTTTCTCTCTGTCTCTCTCTTTCAAATCCCAAACCCTTAATCCTAAACCCTAAACAACCCAAAACCCTAAACTCCAAACCCTAAACCCTAAACCCAAAATTCCAAAGCCTAAACCCTAAACCGTACATATACCAATATACAGACTCGTGCCTATATGGACATTCACAAGCACATACATTCTCAAAGCCATGGCCCAATGTGTCCCGAAACCTTAATGCAGGCTACAACACATAGTTTGGGGGCTTCGGCTAGCTTGGTTTCCTGAGGCTTCGGCGATCCTGAGGAGGAAGAGATCTATGACTTTCACGAACATTTTGCAGGCCGCAACCACACAGGTTCCTGATGCTTCTCAATACCGAAATACCCCCTGCACAGGTATGCACAAGCTCACCAATGTGGTGCGGTCCTACGGGTTTCGTGCGAGGATGTTCGATGTCCCGTGCCCAGTTGCTCGATCGAGATCGGGCACCTTAGCTTGCTTTTGAGTTTCTCGCACAGGTCCTGTACTCGAAACGAATGGATATTCTCACTTCCTTCGGCTTCCTCCTAGCCATGAATGCTGCCTGATTCTTAGCACAACATGCAGTTCTTATGCAGACAACCAGATTCGGCCACGGATAGCAGGTCACAGCTGAGTTGCTTATATATCAGGCGAGGACCACTAGAGTTGGTGGATGTCATTGGCTTGCACCGCCCTGCAAGTCGTGGGTATGGATGCCACATCCTTACATTACCCGAAATTTTAGTTGTCGTTCTGTGTTGGCCCCAGTTGCAAGGTCGAGGCACACCTCCAAGCGACGTTGGCTGAGACCTCAAGGCTTGGATTGTCATGGCTCTTTCGAAGCTGACTGATAGTCTTGTTACTGCCTCTGATCAGGAACAAAATCGTTCGAAAAAGTTGTCAGCGCCAATCGGCTAGTCCGTCGGATGGTATACCTGTTCGATACCCAGCTACATCTTCGTTGTTAGCCATAGCACTTGTGTGGCCGTACTACGTACAAACTACAGGCTCGAATACCTGTTTCGGAAGAAAGTCTTCTACGTGATCGAGAACCCCAAGAAGTCGCTCATTTGGAGGTACTCACCTCTGAAGGACTGCATGTGCTCTTTTCATCCAGATCTGGTCTGAAGGTGTGTGTGTGTGTGTGTGTCCCTCGGCAGGAGCTGCTAGCCAGGCATGGGGCCCGTTCTGTTTCGGTCAGTCTCGGCAATTTTGGCGGCTTAACTCAGAAAGATGTGGTTCTGTACGGTACACATCCAATGCTACCAGAGCTGGCCGCCGCCAACGACCGCAAAAACACTCCGCTGCGAAGGCCCCGGGCTGATCTTTCGCCACGCCACGCCACGCCACGCCACGCCACGCGACGCGACACGCGAGCTAAGGTCTCAGTTGAGGCGGATCCGATCCTGGCTTAAGCTTGAGACTGTGCGCCGGTTCGTGGACAAGCGGGGCATCTCGAGATGTGCCGGGATCTTAAACCGGTACGAGATTCGATCGAGTTCATATATGGGAACAAATCTATCGAGGCCGGAGGGCCAAACTTAGCCGAGACCCAGCACTACCCGGCAGGTCTTGGTTTGGCGGTGGGCTTGGCATGTGTCTATATATAAGCTTGCGGGGAATTAAAAGTTCCAATTCTCTACGCCAGGTTGGTGAGCTGCTGCAGAAGAGCATGGATCCCCGTGGGCCTCGTTCCACGCACCCTGATGGGGGCCTTTGCTTCGTGGACCAGGGCTATGAGAGCTCGGACTCCGGTTTGGGGGATCTTATGTGACTTGCTTTAGGAGTGCTGGACGTGAAGGGGAGCGGCCGTTCCTATATAAATCTAATTTAAAAATAATTATTTCTTATTTATCTATAATTATAAAACTTGGACCGTGGCGTTGCGTGGCGTGGCAGGGTCAACCGGCCACAAAACGACAGTGTGGCGTGGCGTGGCGTGTCGTGGCGTGGCGCAGGATGAGTTTAGAATAATTAAAAAAAGATACTAATAAAATAGCCGTTGGATTGGTTTTGGGGATTGTTACCGTGGCGTGTCGAGGGATTTTTGCGGGCAGCAGTATAGTGAGTAGTATAGAATAGTACATATAGTATGATTATAGATGTATAGAACGAATGAAATGGTTTCTAGATATGTACAATAGTATACTAGCAGTATACTACATAGCAGCTATGTAGTACGTAGTATAGTACTAGCACGTATATAGTAGCAGTACAGCAGTAGTAGTAGT